CCTTTTGCATGAAGCATATCCCAGTTACGTTATATTCACATATTACCATATTTTTCCTAAAACTATCCCAGTTACATTATATTCACTCATAGACTCATAGACTTTAAGGTCAGAAGGGACCATTATGATCATCTAGTCTGACCTCCCGCATGATGCAGGCCACAAAGCCATCCCAACCCCTTTCCCTTGACTCTGCTGTTGAAGTCCCCAAATCCTGTGGTTTAGAGACTTCAAGTAGCAGAGAATCCTCCAGCTAGTGACCCCTGCCCCATGCTGCGGAGGAAGGCGAAAAACCTCCAGGGCCTCTGCCAATCTACCCTGGAGGAAAATTCCTTCCCGACCCCAAATATGGCAATCAGTAGAACCCCGAGCATGTAGGCAAGATTCTCCAGCCAGACCCTCATTGGCCATTGATACTATTTACCAGCAATGGCACTGACTAAAATCATGTTATCCCATTAAACCATTCCCTCCATAAACTTATCTAGCTTAATCTTAAAGCCAGACAGGTCCTTCGCCCCTACTGTTTCCCTCGGAAGGCTGTTCCAATATTTCACCCCTCTGACGGTCAGAAACCTTCATCTAATTTCAAGCCTAAACTTCCCCATGGCCAGTTTATATCCATTCGTATATCCACTTATTATCATGTTTTTATAAAACCATATAGACTGCACAACGTCACAACCTGAGCTGCCAGTTTTACATCTGTCTTGGTATTTATGGGGTTCCCTCAAGGGCGGTGGGTATCATAGGCCTGGGGAGACTGCTGTGGCCGCCAGACCCCTGGTTGCGGGGTTTGGCAGCAAAATTTTTGCTTTATTATGCACCATGCATAATAAAGATTCTGGGGTGGCTGAGGAGGCGGTATGTGCTATTCAGTTTCTCAGGTTCATCAGTAATCTCCCTGGACTCCCTGATGAACCCAGGAAATTGAGTAGCAAGTACCACCTCCTCAGCAACCCAGGGACCTGGATGGGTCATGTCAAAAGCATCTTCGGGAAGAGATGCTTTTCCCTGGACGGCTTGGGGTCTGGGGAGGGGAGGTGTGGAGCAGCTGCGGCTGGCCCTGGCACCTCCAGGCAGGTGTGGGGGAGGCCTCGGGGCTTCTACCAGCCTTGGGTTTCCCCGGCCAATGTGTGTGGGTTTCCCCGGCCACAGAGGAGGTCAAGGGGTCTTGGGGCTCTGGATGCAGGGGGAGGAGAGCATGGGCGGAGCCAGGGGCTAGCCTCCCTGAAGGGGGGCTCCAGCCACCACCCTTGGGTCCCCTTCACAGTAGCATCTGAGGCATGGGTGCTACAGTGGCAGAAGAGGTTTTTCCTTCGCTGTAGGAATTCCATCTCTCCGTGCAATGGTAGCTATGTCAATGGAAGCATTCTTCCATCGACCTCGCTGCATCTACACTGGGGGTTAGGTCTGCATAGCTATGATGCTTGGGCATGTGGATTTTTCCCACCTGCATGCCATAGCTATGTCAACCTAAGTTTGAAGTGTAGACAAGGCTTGAGTCCCTCCCAAACATGAGTGAATTTATTCTCTAAGTTCCCATATGAGATGGGAAAATATTGTTGCCCCCATTTTAGAGATGAGGAACAGAGACTGACAGAGTTAGTGACTTGCCTAGGGTCACACAGGGAGACTGCAGAAGAACCATGAATTGAACTCCCCAGCCAGTGTCTTAACCACAAGAGCATCCTTCCTCTGAAACACAGATTCAATTAGTAACAAGAATATAAGAAATGTAGAACTCATCGTCCATTACATTAGTAGGTGGTGTTTCAGTGCTTGTAATATCACTTCCTGTTCATTGCCTACTTGCTCACAATATAAAGATTCGCATTTGGCTTTTGAAATTTCAAGTATTTTCCCTTTTTGTTTGTTTCCAGAGTGTGAAGCTCCAGAGCTCCAGATCAGGTACAGTTTATCTTGATGTTACTTCATTGAGTCCGTTGAGATACCTGTCTGTTTGGTAGTAAACTCGGTAGTGTACTGTAACTGTACCGAACTGCACTTTGTAAAAGTCCCTAGGCTCCATGCCCAGAGGAACAGCTTTGTTGTACACATGACGGACTAGTGCATCAACCAAACTAGTGTTAGTTTTTATATCTCCTAATCAGTCCCTGAATCAGCTGGTATCCTTTTGTGCTACTGTTTCTTTCAGTCTTATCCGGAAAATGAGTTGTCATTGTTTCCTTCTCAGACTGTTTATTGCCTTGGGAACATTCTCTGCCATTCTCTTGGGAATGGGCACTTGTAGCACTTGCATGTTCTCTTGGGAAGGATTGTAGATTTATACGGATTGCATTACTGTGGTCACCATAGGGGATGTCAGCCCAATCCAGTTCAGCAAGCTGATATGGGAACTGGACTGGATGAGCCGCACTGAGAATGCTACACTCAAGGCAGACTGCAAGGAATAGGGCACACAATCATCAAAACTGGCGGTTTAATTCTATAATTAGATTCACCAATTCAGTAACAAAACAGCTTCTATAATACCACACTGGTCACCAAGAAGCCAAATACAGTCTTTTTAAGCATTCTAGCCCTTGACTTCCATCCAGACAGATAAGTCTAATATAGTGAGTGAGTGGTTACTGAAAACCTGATTCACCATTATGTGAGGTTCACCAGTTCCAAAGGACCGGACTTGATTCCCAGGTCAATGAGAGTCTCAGATCTTACCTAATAATCATGCTGATGCCAACCCTTTTGTAACGAAAACTAAAGGCTTCATAATAAAAAGAAAAGAGATGCAAAAGGTTAAAAGATCAATATACATACAAATGTGTGTAAAGTCCTTAGGACAGTTTCATAGCAGAGAAGGTGAGGCTGCTTATTTGTAAAAGTGTTTCTGGAATCAATTTAAAAGGTTATAATCCAATAGGCAGGCAATCCAGGTGTAACATCTGCTGAAGCTCTTCCATGAGAATTCCCAGGTAAACCTGGAAACCACAGTTTTATAGCTTAAACCTTCCCTGTTAACGTTTAAGCAGAACTAAGATGAAAAGGATCAGGCCTAAAGCTTCCTTTATAGTTCTCTAGCAAGCTGATAAGCCTCCTCACAGCAAGACCTTCCCCAATGAAGAATAGGCAGTGCAGACTTTTGCTCTGAAGCTAATCTATTTCCTAAGCATACACAAGCAAACCAGTTGCATTCATTCACATATGACAATTAGCCAGTAATTCATTATAGCATAGATAGTTAAGCTGAAGACAATGTAAATAGTATTAGTTTCCTGCATTATCTTGCATTTTTGATCTTAAGGTTTACTGAACCATCTGCATGCCAAATATAATGCAATTAAGACATGAAAGGGAATTAGCATCTACAAACAAATCTGGTTACATTGTTAAACTTCTAACAAGATACAGATAAACACAGACAAATACACTTAGCATCTATCCTTGATTTCTATTACTACAAATAAATAGGTTAATGATTGCTAGTCTAGTACTGTGGTTCTCAAACTTTTGTACTGGTGACTCCTTTCACATAACAAGCCTCTGACCACGACCCCCTTTATAAATTAAAAACACTTTTTAATATATTTAACACCATTATAAATGCTGGAGGCAAAGCAGGGTTTGGGGTGGAGGCTCACAGCTTGTGACCCCCCCATGTAATAGCCTCGTGACCCCCTGAGGGGTCCCAACCCCCAGTTTGAGAACCCCTGGTCTAATACATCTCTTTGAAATTCACATATAAGTACAAAGCAACAGAGGGTCCTGTGGCACCTTTAAGACTAACAGAAGTATTGGGAGCATAAGCTTTCGTGGGTAAGAACCTCACTTCTTCAGAGGCAAGAAGGGAGTTTCTTACCCACGAAAGCTTATGCTCCCAATACT